TGGTACTCAATCTGCGTCCACCTTGTTGCCAGAGTCTGGACAATCGTCAACGATGTGGCCTCAAGAAACGCCGCCCTCATTACATGCCACTGCCTCCCAAACTTCGTCCTATTGGCAACCTCAATCGGCACCGCGGTCAGAAGTCGTCCCCACAGAAATGGCTGCACAAACTCCCATGGGCGGTACTCAATCTGCGTCCACCTTGTTGCCAGCGTCTGGACAACCTTCGTCGATGATGTGGCCTCAAGAAACGCCGTCCTCATTACGTGCCACTGCCTCCCAAACTTCGTCCTATTGGCAACCTCAATCGGCACCGCGGTCAGAAATCGTCCCCACAGAAATGGCTGCACAAACTCCTATGGGTGGTACAAAATCTACGTCCACCTTGTTGCCAGTGTCTGGACAACCTTCGTCGATGATTCCTTCTGAAACCGTGCCTTCATTTCATGACACTGCTCATCAAACGTTGACTTGCTCGAGATCTCCATCTGAGTATCTTTCACCTCCAATTCTGAGTCCCCATTTTGAGGATATGTCTCCCCAACCTTCAACATCATTTCATTCTGCTACATCAAGGTCACCTACGTCCGCCCAATCGCCTTTGAAATGCACAAGTAGTACATCCTTCTTTCCGCCTGCACGTTATTCGATTCTACCTCTTGCTGAAATGAAGCCCCGCTTTTCCTTAACCGAACCTCAACCATCAACTTCCTTGCCGTCTTCGTCTCGTCCTCGCTCGGTTCTTGTGCATCCAACACTGTCTCCCACAGATTTTAGCGTTGCTACTCAGCCTACACAGGCTGACCTAGCTTCTTCTTCACAATGCTTCGAGAGCCACTCTACAGAAATGCAGTCTCAAGTTTCCGCGACTGCTTCTCAAAATGCAACAAACTCGCGACTCCTCTCCAAGGCGACTTCCATGCAAACTATGCCAACCACGCAGCCACTGAAGCCACAGCATGTTTATTCCGAAGACTCGTTGCCTTCTACTTCTCGAAGTAATCAAAAATCACAGAATGCAGAAATCCAATTGAGACTACTCAATATGTACTTATCCGAACCATGCAGACCCAACTTAGAAGCCGGAACGTGTCCAGGCGGACAGTCATGTCCGTTTGCAAAACATGGCTCTAACACCAGGTCCCCATCGGATCAGCTTGATTTTCGAAAGCTGCGCTGTATTGATTTCGAGTTTACGGGTTCGTGTGAAGCTGGAGATAGGTGCCCCTTTCGTCATGTCATACCTGAGCACTCGGACGATGCAGATTCACAGTCCAGCTAATATGCTTAGATGGTACGTGGAAGGTCTGATAATTGTCTTGGCTATGTCACCTCACCTGATTTGTGTTGTATCCGTCATCAGCCATTTATACCATAAATACAATTGATTGCTGATTTTTAAAAAAACGATTATTTGAAGTCTTCCCTTCATTACACACAATAAAGGGGTCATTTTAATATTCATTCGGCTACTCAGGACAGACGATGAATGGGGTCCATGTGATCGCTTTTGTGTTGGGCTTAATTTGCTCGCCTCGTCAGATTGGGGCCTCGAGACTGGGGTCACAACTGCAGCATGAATGAAAGGAAATAAATGCGCGCGTCATTCTGTCGCACCTAGTCCATCGTACTCTTGTGTGGTCTATTTGCTGCTAACATGAAGAATCGATGCGAGCTCCATTCAACGCTTTTGACGCCTTTGTGCATTGCCGGAAGGTGTTTAAAATGATTTGCTGCTGCTGCTGCTAATACAATCATTTCCGGGTTTTTGACTTGGTAGACTTGAAGACCAAATTGAGAATACATAGGTAAGGTCTGTCGGTTTAGTATCGAGAGTGGGGGTTGTTGAGAATAGAGATGTAGGTCTAGATTGGGTACTGTCGTCAGACGTCTGTCATCCACCCACCGACCCACACAACAGAGCACAAACTAGGCGGGCTTAACGCTAATAAGCGGTCGTGTTCTCTGACACCTCTCTTTTCTCCCTTCTCTCGTCTTCACTAACTGTTAACTGGTGTGTTGTAAGGTAGCGTAAATAAATTACCACAGATGCATTTCGATCTAATCAATAAATCTGGTGGTACCAGGCGGTAGTTGGGAATTCGTACTGAGCAATCAGAGAGAATCTGAACCTGGAATCGGGCTTTGTTGGTTATGAACGGCTGAAAATATAAGAAGGGGCAAAATAGAACGGTGGCCACGGAAGTACTAATCTGCATACCTTGTACTGCAAGATTGCATTTGAAGTCGAAGTCACGAGTTTAACAGGATGTTGTACCTCCTAGTGTGTTGCAGCCATCTAGCTGAGTTGGTCTAACTGCGCTTGGTCCTTCACGCAAACTATCGTAATGGGTAAATAATTGCAAGGAAACAGACTATCAGAAATGGTTTACGTCAAGCTGATTGATATCGGCCACATTCAACCTTTGCTTTCACCGGCCTCTTTTCCTTATTTCCAATCTCGCACCTTACATCATTAAAACTTGGTAACTGCCCATACAATGCATCCAGATTCTGCGTTACATTATATCTGATGCCACGTCTAACAGCCCTGTCTACGTTTATCCATTCTGGTCCACCTAAAATTGGCCCAGTTTTGTTCACTTAATGCATAATTCGGAGACTTCAAATGTGCTAGCTAACCTCTCTCTGGCAGATTTGTATGTGTGATTCCATGATCAGTAGTACGCCGAATTGTCTTAGGCTGGTGACAGAACAGTTTGAGATGACGAGGGTTTCCTGTATCAATGGATAGGAACGTCCAATACTGCCGACATTGAGACTGCGTCGTTGGACTGAGCTATTCGTGGCGGGCATATCCTAACTGTCGATGTGGTTGAGGATGTGGGAATGGTGCATACTGGGTTAATCTACGCTAAAACTCACTTGTTACTTGAATTACTGAATGTCTCAAATAATGCTAAAATTGTTCACCAAGTTGCCGCATTAATCATGTTTACACTTCAACTTATTGTGTATGGCGCAGTGATGTTCGTGGACAAATTCAATGCTAAGCATAGTTGGAACTGAACGATTAGGCAATTGGGTTGCAGACATCTCACGATAATTAGTTAACGCAAACTGACATGAGTAAGTGATGTCTGCTTTTAATTGGAAATCGCAGATCATTGTAAGTGCATTTTCAGTTTACAAGTGGAAATCAACTTCTGTCTGATGGCTTAGCTGAGAAGCACTGGTGGACGTCGAACAGCTGTCGTGTCAAGACAGGTCGCGGTGTTT